GCCAAGAGAGGTCTCCTAAGCAGCCAAGAGAAAATAACAGAAACATATTTTCTTGTTGGATTTTGGCCTTTCTGCTTTTGAGGCCCAGCTGAAACCAGGGATGGAAAAAAAAGCAAAACAAGGTCGGACCTAGTAGTAGACATGTTTCTGTGGTTGGAAGGTCAGATTAATCTCTTTGGAGGTCCCCTCAGATTTGGGCACGTATAGGCCTATAAAAGCAATGCTCAAAGCACTGATAATTCTCCACCCAGTGGAATTCTCACCTCTGTCAAACTTAGATATATTAAAGATTCTCTTCTCACTGCCCCATTCCCCACATCTGCATCTCTCAGGTTTGCCCTGCAGTTGAGTCCATTTTATTTTATTAGAGGTTCTCATTCCTGTTGTGATGTTCACTATAGATTGCTAACTGCCCTTAGTGTGTATGCATGCTTACGCATATGTATGTTTACCTCTGTGTGTGTGTGTGTGTGTGTGTGTGTGTGTGTGTCTGTATGTATGTATGTATGTATGTATGTAGGTATGTTTTTAGAACCCCTAAATCAGGGTAGCCTTGTTAACTGGATACTTGATTGTTTAAAATCCTTTGACTCCAAAAACCTGCCACCTGCCTGAAATTCTTCACTTCTCTTTAACTTGCTACCTGAAATTCATAGAATCAAAAAAGATTAAAACTTGAAGGTACCTTAGAGATTAATTAGTGCAAGGATCTCATTTCACTAAAGAGCGAAGTGGAGTCCAGAGAGGTGAAGTGATTTGCTCCAAATCACACTAGTGAGAGGCATCCTGGAGTATCTGGGGGTGGGAGAAAGTACATTCTAGGTGGTAGGAATGGACAAAATGGAGATTGACAGGCACATAGCTTCTGCTGTTCTGGCCTTACTACTAACAACACAACACACTTTTAAGAGAAAATCCCAACTGCAATGGCAGCACAGTAACAACAACTACAACTCATTTGTACTGTGTTAAAAACTTACCATATACATTGTCTCACGTAAGCTCACTCCATGAGAAGTAACTATTATCACTAGTGTAGTGAAGATAAAATTGGGGCCAAGAAAATAGGAAAATCCATGGAAAATAGATAATGTGTCCTTAGGAGCCTGCTGGATATGCTGGTGGTCTGTCCCTCCCTTTCTTCTTCCTAAGAGAACCACAATTTTGTTCAGGTTTCTTGTTCTTCCCACATTTATGTGCCTTGGGGAAGATGACCACAATCCCAAGTTCTAGGGATGGCTTTGATTGGCTTAAGAGGAGGCTACTTGGACCATTTTGATGGGATGAAAAGCTATGTGTGTGGTGTAGTGTTCATCAGGAAAGCCTTTCTTTACTCTTCTGAAGAAACACTGGAACCTCTTTTCCTTTCCTACTAGGGAGGAATGAAGAATCATGCAGTTCCAATTGCCACAGGACCACAGCTTCGGAATGAAGCTGACAGAGACAACAAGCCTGAGAAGTAGAAAGAATCTGAGTCTTTTAGGATCTCACTGACTTGCTAAAGCAACTAAGCCTAGAGCTTGCCTTACTTTTGGATTTGTAGTTAAGTGAGCCAATATATCTCCTCTAGAGACCAGTTTAGGAGACTTTTCTATTACCTTTAGCATCCTATAGCAGGGACAAAGGGATGAACCTCATAGCTAAGAATAAATTCAGCTTACTTCTGTAAGGAATGGCTCTGCTGATCTTTCTGATACATTTAAACATCTCTCTCTTCAATTAATATAAAGTACAATATGAAGAAGCTGGAAAAATATGAAATATTTTTCTTACAGATCTTTTAATCCACTATCAGAGTCAGCATTCCTGTATGGCTTCTAAAATGTGCCAGCTTTGTGCCAGATTATAATCAAATCCTGGCTCCATTACTTCCAAATATATGACCTTAGGCAAGTTAATTTGCCCCTCTGTGCCATAGTATCCTCAACTGCAACAATGGGTTAGTAATAGTGCCCACTTTACAGAGTTGTTGAGATTAAATGAATTAATATATGTGGAGAGATTTAAAAGTGTGAGTATACAGTAAAGGCTCAAAACATTTAAATATTTTTATGGTGAAAAGCAGAAAGAATAAGCCAAGACACCTAATTATTATAAATAATATATACTAATAATAATATATGCTAATGTGGTTTTGGTATATTTATTAATATATTACTTATCATGTGCCAAGTATCTGGGTAGGTATTTTACATGTATTTTCTCTAATTCAAATAATAACTCTCTGAAGTAGGATTGATTCACTTCATTTCCAGATGAAGAAACTGGTGTTCACAGAGGCTAAGGGATGTAGTCAAAGTTACATGTCCAGTGACTGTAGAGCCAGGATTTAAACCCAGGTGTAACTCCAGAGCCTATTCTCTTTCCCCTATCATGCAGCTTTCCAGAGCACCTCTGGTGGGGAACAATGAAGTTAGGGTCAGGAACAACTCTAAGAAAGAGCAGAGAAAAAAGAGAGCAAACAGAAAGTCGGGCATAAAAGAAATAGAAGTGTTTGGAGATGGGGAAAGGCTCAGACCCATATTGAAGCTATCCCCTGAATGCTGTGCCTTTTTCCAAATGACCAGAATTGCAATAGAAGGTGCTGTTCCCTCTGAGTGATATTTCCCAAGTCTGAGAAGATGGGATGCACTAGGAATTCTTTCAGCCTTGCCATTTGAGAATGGAGAAGCAGGGAAAGAAGTGAAAGCAGTGAAATTAGAAATTCAAATGGCATATGATGAAATCACTTTGGACACCACAGTTATTAACCCCAAGTTGGCTCATTCCTCTAAATCTTGAGCTCCATCTCAAGTGTACTATACATTAAGTGCCAGAAAGTATTGATCTCTTCTTTCATACAGCTAGTACATCTCTCCACCACTGAAATGCAAAGAAGCAATAAATGCTGAATGCGAAGTTTCTTCTGGAAAGACCAGTAGTGAACACATTCTAAAGATGAGGCAGCAGTGATAAGTATCTTTCTGAAAAATGGAGACCTCCGATAGGAAGACCTATCCTGGAGGATCTGCCAAGGAATTTTTTACTATGGGGATTCACCCTAAGCACATTCACTCAAATAATAAAGTGGTAGTGGCATTTGAAAGAATTTAGAAAGGTCTTTAAACTCTGATCTTGTCAGAATAGATTGTTGCAAAATGTTCCAGATAGTTCTTTAGAGCTTCATTTGAAGACCTTGACATAAGTCCAAAGCAAATCTCTGCCGTAAAAGTTGTATTAGTAGCATGATTAAGCATTACGTGGTATTCTTTGCAGAGAGGTGTTCATTTGATGAGGAATTGGGGAAAGCTTTTTCATAACATTATTGCAGCTCTTTGCAAAGACTTCAGTAAATTCTGGCTTCTGTCCTTGGTCAGAAGTTAACCACCACTAGTTAAGATAATTAGTAGTACATAAAACAATGCTTGAGGTTTAACTCAACAGAGTGTGGGAATGGAAGGATGAAGGGGGAGGAGACACCAAGTGCCAGACTTAATTGCCAGAGGCAAAGTGAGTGTGTTGGTCTCTGAATAGGCCATAGGCCAGACAGTAACCAGAATGATTTGATCTATAGAGATTCTGGTGTTGGTTAATTGTTTAGGGGATTCTTGGCATGGAAAGAGATGCCTAACCTGCTAAAGCCCTACTCGACTTGCAATCTTTTAAAAGAGAAGTCTAGTGAGTAAGAACTTGGCTTACATTACCCCTAAAGTGAGTCCTAGCACTCACTCAATTACTAGACCTAGATAATTTCACAATGCAGAACACCTAGAGTGGAGACTTGATCAAGGCTACTAATGTCACAGGAACAAACTGTGAATCTTCCCCTTGTCTTCCCCCATAGATCTGAAACCACTTACTGGGTAAATGTGATCAAGAGAAAAACACACACTCAAAACATTCACAGGCTCTTCAGCACTCACCCTGGACTTACACTAATTTATGGGGGCCCAAAAGCACATTAACACTGAGCCTTATAAGGGACAGTTATTAAATAGAATTTTAACCCATTGCAACTTATGGTTGGTCCTGTGGGACCCCAAACTCTTTTCCCATGGCTATTTTCCCATGATCTAAAGATAAAGATAAAATTGGACAATCTCAGCACCTGCAGGCATCTTTACATTGACTCCTTTACTCAGGGCCTATGGGCTTTTACAACAGAGAGGGCCAAGTGTAAGCTCTTGGAATAACCCCTCGTTGGCAAAATGCTTACAGAAAAGCAATATTACTGCCTTACACCCATTACCACCTAGCAATATATTGTACAATTGTTTGTTTGTATATGGTCTTTTTCCTTCCCTAGCATGTAATCTCCTTGAGGGCAGATATTTTGCCTATCCTGTTCACTGCTCTATCCTCAGTGTCTAGGACAATGACTGGCACATAATACATATTCAATTAATATTTATTGACTACATAGATGACTAAATTTCTGAAGGAGATTTCAGAAGTCAATGCCATCATCAAAGATTTGAAAGATACAGGTGTGGTAATTCCTACCACATTTCTATTTAAGTGAATATGGATGGGCCTTGGAGTATAAAAGTGAATAATCATAAACTTAATGATCTGGCATTTCAAACTGCAACTTTGGTCCAAGTGCGGTGTTCTTACTGGAACAACAACAACAAACATGCTTCTGACACTTGGACCACAGCTAATCATCTAGTAAATGATTTTTTGTATTTCCTACCCCAATAAATATAAACACTTCAGACAGGTTGATTTTACTTTACAGTAAAATTTCAGTACAATTTCACTGTCCTACTTCAGCTATGCATCAACTTTTTGCAACTGTACTATATCTGCTAAACCAAATCTTGACCATCTTATTATCCCACAGGATATTATTATGCTTTGCTCTATTGATGACATCATGCTTATAAGACTGTGTTTTAATTAACTACTTTGCATTTAAACTACCCCAAAATTTAGTGACTTAAAACAAAAATAAATATTTATTTCTCACAGTTTTTATGGATCAAAAATTCAAACAGGAAAGGGTAGGGAGGGCTTACCTCTACTGTGATGAAGGGGCCTCAGCTAGAAGGCTCTAAGGCTGGAGTTGGAATAATATGAAGGCTTCTTCACTCATGTGTTTGGCAACTGATACTGGCTGTTACCTAGCAAGGTTCCAAGGCAATTGTTGAGAGAGAAAGAGAGAAGGGATGGGAAGAGAGAGAGAGAGAGGGAGAGAGAGAGAGAGAGAGAAAGAGGGAGTTAAGCTGCATCCTTTTTATAACTTAGTCTTGGAAATCACATAGCATCACTTACTTCGTTGGTTGGGGGAGGCACAAGCACCTACCCAGGTTAAAGAGGGGAGGGAACTTCACCAACCTCTTAGCAGGAGCAATGACAATCACATTGTAAGAAAAACATGTGGGGTGGGGTAAATATAAAGTGTGGATATATTTGGGAAATACAATCTGCCACATATTCAGAAGTAGCAGGTATGCTAGATACATATGCATACCAAAAAATGAGAGATGAAGCCTTTGAAAATGCAGTGGTCTACTAGTGATCAAATGCAATTAATGAACTATGACTAAATCCTGGTTTGAAAAAAACAGCTATAAATCACTGTAGTCTCTATCCATAATTCCTAACTTGAATATAAGACAAATTTTGTTATCCCACTGTTCTGTATAGGCGTATTTGTGGTGTTTAAATACAAATTTTAGTTCATAGGTTGTTGAATATCAATATGAAGTTGTATTAGACTAAAGAGGAAATGGGTAACACCCAGAAATTCTGCATGAAATTTTGCATTGTCTCCCTTCAGAGAGGAGGTGAGTACATTTTTGGTTATTATGAAGAAAAGATGCATTATATTTAGTAGAAGTGTGTGTGTGTGTGTGTGTGTGTGTGTGTGTGTGTGTGTGTATGTGTGTGTGTGTCTAGGTATAGAAACAAGGGTGTATATGGATATTGACTATTCAAAGGAGTGAGTAGTGGAACCTGATATTCTATAGGAAAATCAATTTCTTGCTTAAAATCCATTTCTGTTGCTTGCAAACAAAAAACCCAACTGATATAATTCCTCACATCAGAGAGAGTAACAGCAGCCACAGGATGAGAAGTAAACTCCATCATCCAGACCAACATCTGGGAGAGAAACAGCAATGGCAGTCAGTGATGATGGAAGATTTTGCTACCAACTGAAGACCATAGGAAAACTGCACCAGTAGCCATTACAAGGATTAAATGAGTCAACCTTTGAAAAGCACTTACTATAGTGGCTAGGTAGCAAGGACCATACAAGTGCTGTTCAACAATAAGAAATTAAATAGTGCTAGCAAGAAAAATTAAACAGCATATAAGTTTGGGGGGATTTCCACAAGGAAATAGAGGGAATTGGGGAGGCTAAATATCCCAGTCATTCTGTGATGGTGGTTTAGAGCCAAAGATACTTTTGCTACCTTTGAAATGGTTATCCATGCTCTAGACGGCCTTCTCCTGGCAGACAAAGATTCCTCACTTCATCCTACTGCCACCACTTTAGTCCACCTCTAGGCATTTCTGCCTAGATGACTGTACTATCCTATTAATTGTTCCCTGTAACTTCCACTCTCAACCTCCCTACAACCCATTTTTCACATTACAACCAGGATGATGAAATTGAAAGTCTAATTGTGACATTCTCTCAGATGAAAATCCTCCATCGTTTCTTTCCTACTGATGCCAGCCAATATCTCACTGTTTTTTTTCAATTCTCCCTCTAACTTTGGAAAGTTCTCTTCAAGTGACCATGGTAAAAGAATAGCAAGGTCTAAATTCTGAGCATATCTCTAGAGTTTACCATTGCTAGTGAAGAACAACATCAACAAAATTAATCTAACATCCATTTAATGACATATATACTAGTTACTATGCAGTATGGCAGTTAAATATAATCAGTCTATGAGTGCATCAGGGTATGAGAGCTCAGTGAGAAAATCAGACCACTTAAATATTATGGAATAAAGATCTATTATAGCAATAAGACCTTTCAGAATTAGGGAAAATTTGGAGAAGTAAAGCCCAAAATACAGAGTTAGAGGATGAGATAAAATTGCTCATCAACCTTCCTGACACACTGGCATGATTGAGCAAGTTACAGCCTACTGGGGAATTTGGGGAGCCAGGCACATCAGTTGCTGAAGTGAGTATGTGAAGAGGTGGTGGAGAAATCTATGGTAAGCTATTGCCTTTGCATCTGAGGGCAGGCCTGGGTTGCTGTTGGTTGGCAGTGTCAGCAGCTGGAAAGAAGAGCTAGACATGCAGTGGGGAGGGCCAGGCTAAGCTAGAACACATCAGTACTTCTAACATCTCTCACTGCATCTAACCACAACTTTCAGAGCGTGCTGCTGTTTCACTTCTGCCTTCTAAGTCTTGTCCACATTTTTTGTTTGGACAACTTTAACATAGAACCACCCAGGGAAAGAGATTCTGGACAAAGTTGTTCTAGTTTAGCCAGGTTAGTACAGTACAAATTCATTACACTCAGTAAACATTTAGATAAATTACTTGTTTATATTTCTTTTAAGCCATTTAACCAAATTGCTAGGTTTTGCCTTCTTGTTCGGTTCATGGACTCTTTATGCAGGAAAATTTTTGTTGTTTTCTCTGATTTTAAATATTCATTAATCATCACCACAATCATATTCATATGTACTGTCTTAGTCAACTTGAGCTGCTGTAACAAAATACCATAGTCTACATGGCTTAAAAAGGCAAACATTGATTTCTTACAGTCTGGAGGCTGGGAAGTCTAAGAGTAAGGTGACTGCAGATTTAGTATCTGTTGAGAGCTCTCTCTTCCTGGTTTGCAGATGGCTGCCTTCTTGCTGTGCTGTCACACAATGGAGAGAGAGATGACTCTGGTCTCTTTCTCTTCTTATAAGGACACCAATCCCATAAGGGAGTTCTATCCTCATGAACTCATTGACATCCAACTCCCTCTCAAATGCTCCAATCCCAAATACCATCACATTGGCGAGTAGTGTTTCAACATATGAATTTGGCAGGACACAAACATTCAGTCTGTAGTATGCATGCACACATTTACATGCACACACACACACACACCTAAACACACACACACCAGAAAGTTATGGGTTTCTTTAAGGTGTGTTGTAGATTGGGTTCCCTAGAAGCAGATCCTGAAATGGGGATTCCTGTTCAAGTGATTTGTTGCAGGAGTACTCTTAGGAAAAAGCAATGAGGGAAGCAGGTTAGAGTAAGGGAAGAATATGGTCTCAACTGGATGCAAGCTTAAATCTGATCCCCTGGAGAAGCTCTGGAGCATAGTTTGCTCCAGCTAGCCCCATCTCAAGGCAAGGGCACTGGCTCTTTTTCCTCTCATGCCAGTCAGTCACTGGCTGAGGTCTGTTGGTGGGGTGGTGGGTGGATGCAAAGCATTTGGCTGAGGGCAGTTCTCCAGAGAGCAGGCAGCTATGACAATTATAAGTCAACACTTACTTTGTAAAGGGGATGGAGTGCAGCCCAATCTCATCCACTAAAAGATGCTTTAGGAGCAGAAATCTCTATATAGACAGTGTGAGGGAACTCAGTCAGCTGAAACAGAAGGCCCACAACAGAATCTTCTGTTCTACTCCCTTTGTTTCTGTTGTGACCTGAGACATGCCACTGATTCTGTAGCAGTTTGGTGTCTTGACTCCTATTTCTAGATATCCCTCTGTGGCTCACTGCTTGGTTATGGAGGCTACATTTGCCATTGGATTTGCCATGGTTCCTATTTTCTCTCTTGTGTTACTGACCTCAGGTTGCCTGGGGCTGATGTTTGGATGTCCACTTCTATTTCACTGCTCATCAGGGTTCTCAGGCTCCCTCTACCCTAGCACCCCACCTCCCACCTCAGCATTGTTATGTGCAACATAACATAATCACACCCATAAAAAGAAAGAGTTTCCACACATAGCTGGTCTTTCCCTCATTCCACAGAACTGTCTCTGTGGTTTGCTTACTAGCTCTGATCCTATCATTGCTCTCCTTTTTCCTCAGTATTTGTTATTTATTGCTGTGTAACAAATAATTCACAAATGTAACAGCTGAAAACAAAAACATTATCTCATCATTTTTGTGAGTTGGAAATTTGAGAGCAGCCTAGGTGGGCAGTTGTGGTTCAGAGGGTCTCATAAGGCTGCAGTCAACATGTTGGCCATGACTGCAATCATATGAAGGCCGACTGGGATGGAAGAGCTGATTCCAAGATGGTGCCCTCACAGTCCATTTGGCAGAAGGCCTCAGTTTCTTCCTCTTGGAAGGAGACCGTCATTTCTCACTACATGGAATTCTCCATAAAGCTACTTGATTGTTCCCAGGACATGGTAGTTTACATCTCTCAGAATGAATGATCCAAGAGCAAGTGATTCAATGTCTTTTAAGACCTAGTCTCAAAACTTATGGACAGTTACTTTTGCCAAAATTATTTGTTAGACATGAGTCATTAAGTCCAGTCTATAACCAAGGGGAGTGGAATTAAACTCCATTTCTTCAAAAGAGATGTATTAAAGAATTTGTGGACATGGTTTAAAACCAACATACACACATACCACAATAGCAGGGCTCTTGGGCAGCTGTTACCTGGTCCTTACCCACCTAGGATACTTGCAGATCTGAGGTAGCAGATTCTGAACCAAGAGAATGAGATTTACCTCCATGAAGGGAGATTACATGACCACTATTCTAGGACATCTAAGAATTAGTGAGAGAGAGGAATGAACAGTGAGGGGAAAAAGGAAAAAGAAAATGGGCTCTGGGGTCAGATAGACTGGGTTTCCAACCTTCACTTTGACATTTCTAACCTAGCTTGGGCAAATCATTTTATTCAAACCATTAAATTTTTTTGAGTATTAATTGTGGGTTAAGCAGTGCACTAGATAGTGGGGATAGAGGGCTGAAAAAAATTTCACTTTTGTGGTGCTTATAGTCTGGTTAATCAGACAGACATTAAATAAGCCATTTCAGTTGTGATGGGGGTTATGTGCTATTAGAGCACATCCCAAGGAGATTTAGCCTTATCTAAGGAATAAAGGAAGACCTCCTTGGAGAAGGGACATTTTAAGTTGAAATTTGGAGGATGATTAAGAGTTGGTCAGGTGATAGGAACAGATAGTGCAAA